AGTCCTAGATGTAGGGTTTTTCCCAGCTTCATTCCTTACACCACGGGAAGAAAATCTCTGGACTACGTCGTTAGTGATTGGAGGCTGGAGAGGAAGGACAACATCGATGACTAGGTTGTGGCTATGGAGACTTGAGCAGCGACTGTGGGATGTTTAGGATTGAGTGAGTGTGGAAAAAGTGGAATATATATATGGAAGACATTTATGTAATTAAATAAATATACCAAAGGTTATTTTGTAATTTAAAAGGGTTTGGGGTGGGGCGGGGAGACATTTATCTCGTTGCTGCTAAGGCTACAAACGAACCGAATACGAATGAACACCCCCGTTCAAAAAATCGTTCGATAAGCACAGAAGGGTGTTCAAACTTGAACGAATACATAATGGCCATTCGAGTTCATTCAACTAATAAAACGAGCAGTTCGCGATCATTTGATTAATTGTTCGAATAACTTGTAAATACATGTTCGAATAACTCATTTGAATACCTGTTTTAAAATTTGGGTTGTGCGGGTAAGGGAAAATGTGGAATTGAGTTTGAATTTTTGTTTTAAAATTTGGGCTGGCCAGGTTTGTTTGTTGGTTATTTGGTTCATATATATGTGTGTGTATATATATATATATAGATAATGTGTAACTGTGTATATACAAAATTATCATGATACATATATATTAATAATAGATTAAATATGTTTAATATGTTATTAAATTATCAAAATTATAGGTTATCATATATATATTATCATTACATAAATTATCATAAATATTTTAAATATCTACATATATATTTTATATCAACACCCATAAATTTATAATGGAATAAGAGCAATGGCGGATCCAGCCACTTTTTGGGCCACCCTCAATTTTTTTTTTAATATTAATATGTATAATTTATATATTTTGGCCTACCCTATTAATGAACAAAAATAGTAATGTATAATAAATTTTTATTTTGGCCAACCCTAAAAAAAATTTTTGGATCCGCTATTGAATAAGAGTGTATTGTAATATATGATAAAAAAAATGTGTAATTAATTTGATTATAATATATATATTATATATTTTATTTCGCCCACTCTAAAAAAAATTCCTAGTCCGCTATTGAATAAGAGTGTATTGTAATATTGATAAAAAAATGTGTAATTAATTTGTTATATATTATAATGTAATTGTGTATATACAAATTATTATTATAAATATTAATCATATATTAAATATGTTTAATATGTTTTAAATTATCAATATTATATATTATTATTATCATTACTATCTACATATATATTTTGTATCAATACCCATAAATTCATAGTGATATGAGAGTCATTGTAATATATATCAATACAAATGTGTGATTATTTATGTTAATATATATATATTTTATATATTATATATATGATTGGTCATGGCATATATCATTTGATTATACAATATATTATATTCATAAATTCATCATACTATATTTAATTAAGTTATTATGTTATTAAATTTGTTATGCTATATATCACTTGATTACACAATATGTTACGTTCATCAATTTACCATACTATATTTATTATTTATTAATTGAAATGTTATCTCATAATATTTAATTATTGATTACATTTGAAAAAATATGAAGCTATTATGTTATTAGATTTGTAAAATTATATATCCCTTGATTTTACAATCTATTATATTATTAAATTTGTTATGCTATGTATCATAATAATTTATTATTTTTTAATTAAAATATTACATACTTATATATTTAATTATTGATGACATTTGAAAAAAAAAAAATTCAAACATATTATATATATAAAAAAACAAAAATATCATAATATTTTATTATTGATTACCATTGAAAAAAATTCATCCAAACTAAACTAAACATAATATAAAAAATAAAAAAACTGAAAAAATATAAATATAAATAACAATATACACCATGTTTTCGAACATAAACGAACAAATCAGCAAACAGATTGTTCACAAACGGATGGATCAGTCAAACGCAATATGTTCGCAAACATAATCAAACGAACACCCCATGTTCGAACTCGAATTGAACATATTATCGAACGAACATTGAACTGTTCACTAACAGTTTGTTATCGAGTTGAATTGAGCTATTATCGAATGAACATTGAGCTGTTTGCGAACATCTCAGTTCGTTTTAACCCTAGTCGTTGCTTTTTTGGGGAGGGACGGTGGTAGGATAGGTCCCCGAATTTCCTGGGACAGCACCTATCTCTAATTCAAGACATTAATATTTGGAGTTAACGACTTTTTCTCAACCAAATAATGGCTTGACACTTTTTCATATACCAGCTTTTAAAATACCACTTTATTACCCAAATTTATATTCTGGCAAAGAGTAGAGAGCAAAATCGGTATAAGCTATTGGGGTTTTTGAAAAGGAAAGACCGATAAGTCTTTTGGTGATGGAAGATTAGATTTGGATGGTTGGGATTGATCGAAATTTGACTTGAGAGGGGCAGTTGCACAAACCTTAATCGCTCAACTGCCGGCAATTAGCAGAGTCGACTAGAGTAAAGTTTGAGGGGTTTTGGTGAGTTATGATTGGCTAAGAGAATGATAGTAGTGTGGAGTCGCAACCATGCCGGAATCAGAAGCAGAATATAAGTTTGGATAATAAAGTAGTATTTTAAAAGTATGTGGGTGGGAAAGTTCATGAAGCCATTATTTGGGTGGAAAAAGGCGTTTACTCTTAATTTTTGTTATTAATTAATTTTAAAATAAAAATTAGATCATAAAATAAATTAAAAAGTGGAAAATTCTGGACAAAAATTGAAGTCAAAACATAAAATTATGCAATACGATCACACTTAAAATAACTGAAAACAAGTTAGAATCCTAAATTTATCAAAGCAAAAACATCAGTAATTAGGGTAGGATCTAATTAGTTGCATGATCATCGTCACCATTTCTGGTTTCAACTGGTGGGTTATGCCTGTCGAATGGGAGCTTTATTTGGCCCAAGGAACCAGCAGGAACAAGCTTAAGATTTTCACAGTTACATATCTCGATCATGAATCCATCTGGATCGTTGAAAAACAGCTGATCGATTGCAGTTCCACTTTCATCATCCTCCACTGTTCTCTTCATGTACTTTATGTTAAACTCCTTCAATCTCTTCTCGATTGCTCCCATGTCTTCACACTGCAAAAATACTTCAAATTCAAATTAAACAACAGTACTCATTTATGAAATATAATCTGATTATTAAAATCTAATTTAAATTAACCTGGAAAGAGATGTGGTTATCCATGGGATCCAGATGATCAGTATCAGGGAGCCTATCTTCATCCTTGGACTGCACCAGGTGAATTCCAACTCCATAGTTGAACAACCACGCACCATCGAAATCAAAAGCCGGTGGTCTTTCAATCAACACAAAACCAAGAACCTTGGTGTAGAAATCTATGGATTCCTTCACATTTCTGCACAGCCTCGACACGTGATTCAGAGCCATCAAAGGGAGTTCTTTTCCTTCATTGTTTTTCTCCTCAGCTTCCTCTTTGTCTCTTCTTGCTTGAACTTGATCCCCATTGGCCTTACTGTTCTCCCCCATCGTCCTGTGAATAGTACGTACGTACTTCAATAACTTGTTTAACTAATGTTGCTGCGTTTTCTGAAGAATGGTGTGGAGGCAGGACTAGGAACGAGGCGGCGGGCGACAGGTGGAGAGGACTGAGAGGACTGAGGAGGAGATAGAAGAAGACACGCGGAGGATTGCATGAAATGGACGCTTATATTTTGTCCAGCTGACAAGTTACATTCTGAGTTTCAGTGAAGATTTTCTATTCCAAGTTAGTTTAAAACAAAGAATTTAGAGTTCGGTGAATGAAGGCATCTCTATTTCAAGAAATACAGTATTTGTATTTGTATTATATAATTTGATTTGAATAATAAACTTCGTTAGTTACATTGAAACATGATATATTTTTATTTGAATACGCGTAACCAAATATATTCTCATTGACCCATCTCTCATAAAGACCAATCATTTAATATATATATATATATACACACACGATTTCTCCCCGACCCACCTCCCTAAAGACCTTATTCATCCACCTCTTATAAAAACCAATTATCCACTACGTATATGATTCCTTACCAACTGACCTCCTAGAAAGACTAATTATACAATATGTATATACGGTATCTTTCTAACCCATCTTCCATAAAAACCAATTATATAATATATCTCGCAAAAAGTTGACCTAATGGTCAAAGAGGTTTGCTCCCTTCCTTGGGTTCCTATGTTCAAACCTTGAGACCACCTATCACAATAATATTGTGACTTACCTGATCTATCATTTGAGCTTGTAGGGTGTTCAATAAATCTTGGAGATTAGTTAAAGTACGCTCAAACTAGCCAAAATATTCCGGTTACAAAAAAAAAAAAAAGAAACCTAATTATACAATATATATATATATATATACACACACACACACACACATACACGATTCCTCATCGACTCACCTACCATAAAGACCAATTATGCAATATATATTGTCAAGTGAACTTGAACTTGAATATTTAGGTAATCATTTTACGTGATTCGAATACAAAATCTTTGAATAATTTATAGCTTTGCCCTCCTACCACAAACCAGGGATTGTTATAACAGTAATGCTAGTTTTATAAAGATATATACAAAGAGAGCATATAAAGACAATCCCCACACTTGATTTTCATGATTTCTTTCTTTCTATCTTTTTCTTTTTTCGTTTTTTCTTTATTTTTTTCTTCTGAATAATTTATAACCCTCTTTATATGGGTCTTTATAAAGGTATCATTTTTCTTGTTATAATACACTATTATACATTATCATTGTATGATCCACTATTCTACACTATTGTTCGCATGATACACATATCCAATGAAAGGTCTCCGAGTGGTGGGACGTACGTAAAAAAACTTTTTCGATGAAAATAATGTACTTGGTTAAGTTGACTTAGGTAGTACTCAAACATTCAATTCCACGACCGGAGGCAGGTGAGGCTTCTTCTTATGTAAGGCTAAATTTAACCAACACAATCTAGGGCCCACTACGGCCCAAAACTAAACTCACCCCCACACGCACTCTCACGCTCAGCTGCAAACGCCATCAGTATCACTTCTCGTGTCTTGTCTCCACCCAAGCGGAAAACCGGACGACCCGAAATTCGAATCGGATCGAATCAAACCAAACCCCAACCTCAACCCGAACCAAACATGTACCGAGACGTCTCCAGCTGCAACACCTACAACTACGGTGACGCGCTCTACTGGGACGCGCGCTACGTGCAGGAGACCGGTTCCTTCGACTGGTACCAGCGTTACTCTGCTCTCCGTCCTTTTGTTCGCAAGTACATCCCTACCTCTTCGCGTATTCTCATGGTCGGCTGTGGCAATGCCCGTAATTTCTCACTTACTTTCTGTCTCTATTTATATCTTCCTTTTGATTCCAAGATTTAGTAATTTTTTCAATTATGATAATTTTTGTAATTTTCAGTTTTGTTTGCTAGGGAAGTGTGAGAAATTGTTGTGATTTTTATAATTAATTGTGCTTTGTGTTTGGTTTATGAGAAAGTGTTGATTTTTTCAGAGAATGTGTTTGATATTATTAGAAAACTTTTATGTTCTCATAAGATTTCTTGTTTCCTGTGTTTTAAAAAACAAAGAATCGTATGTACTTTATGCTTTGTTGAAGTTCGTTTCGACGTCTGTGATGATGTTACATATCACTAATTGTGGCTTCATTATTTGCAATGTCATTTAAGTTTGGTCATGTTTAATTGGTTCTTCTCGAGAAATATTATAATGGAAAATTTATTTAAATGCTTTGCAGTTATGTCTGAGGACATGGTCAAGGATGGGTATGAAGACATAATGAATATTGATATTTCTGCAGTGGCCATTGAGATGATGAAGAGAAAATATGAGTATATCCCTCAGCTAAAATGTATCCTGTTAAAGAAACTTCTGAATTAGTGTCGGTTGCGAATTCTTTATTTGTTTTTTACTCATGTAACCATGCCTACTTCTGTCTTTGTTTTCTTTATTGATCTCAATAGACATGCAATTGGTGAAATATATCATTTGATTATATAATATATTATGTTCATAAATTTATCATACTATATTTAATGAAATTATTATGTTATTAAATTTGTCATGCTATATATCACTTGATTACACAATATGTTATGTTCATCAATTTACCGTACTATATTTATTATTTATTAATTGAAATGCTATCTCATAATATTTAATTATTGATTACATTTGAAAAAATATGAAGATATTATGTTATTAGATTTGTTATATTATATATCACTTGATTATACAATCTATTATGTTATTAAATTTGTTATGCTATGTATCATCATAATTTATTATTTTTTAATTAAAATGTTACATACTTATATATTTAATTATTGATGACATTTGAAAAAAAAAAATTCAAACATATTATATATATTAAAAAAAAAACAAAAACATCATAATATTTTATTATTGATTACCATTGAAAAAAATTCATCCAAACTAAACCAAACATAATATAAAAAATAAAAAACCGAAAAAATATAAATATAAATAACAATATATACCATGTTTTCGAACATAAACGAACAAATCAGAAAACAGGTTGTTCACGAATGGATGGATCAATCAAACGCAATATGTTCGCGAACATAATCAAACGAATACCCCATGTTCGAACTTGAATTGAACACATTATCGAACGAACATCGAACTATTCACTAATAGTTTGCTATCGAGTCGAATTGAGCTATTATCAAATAAACATTGAGCTGTTTGCGAACATCTCAGTTCGTTTCAACCCTAGTCATTGCTTTTTTGGGGAGGGACGGTGGCAGGATAGGTCCCCGAATTTCCTAGGACAGCACCCATCTCTAATTCAAGAGATTAATATTTGGAGTTAATGACTTTTTCCCAGCCAAATAATGGCTTAACGCTTTTTCATCTACAAACTTTTAAAATACCACTTTACTACCCAAATTTATATTCTAGCAAAGGTTAGAGAGCAAAATCGGTATAAGCTATTGGGGTTTTTAAAAAGGAAAGGCCGATGAGTCTTTTGGTGATGGAATATTGGATTTGGATGGTTGGGATTGATCAAAATTTGATTTGGGAGGGGCAGTTACACAAACCCTAATCGCTCAACTGCCGGCAATTAGCAGAGTTAACTAGAGTAGAGTTTGAGGGGATTTGGTGAGTTATGATTGGCGAAGAGAATGGTAGTGGTGTGGAGTTGCAACGATGCCGGAATCAGAAGTAGAATATAAGTTTGGATAATAAAGAGGTATTTTAAAAGTATGTGGGTGGAAAAGTTCATGAAGCCATTATTTGGGTGGAAAAAGGCGTTTACTATTAATTTTTGTTATTAATTAATTTTAAAATAAAAATTAGATCATAAAATATATTAAAAAATGGAAAATTCTGGACAAAAAATGAAGTTAAAACATAAAATTATGCAATACGATCACACTTAAAACAACTGAAAACAAGTTAGAATCCTAAATTTATCAAAGCAAAAACATCAGTAATTAGCGTAGGATCTAGTTAGTTGCATGATCATCGTCACCATTTCTGGTTTCAACTGGTGGGTTATGCCTGTCGAATGGGAGCTTTATTTGGCCCAAGGAACCAGCAGGAACAAGCTTAAGATTTTCACAGTTACATATCTCGATCATGAATCCATCTGGATCGTTGAAAAACAGCTGATCGATTGCAGTTCCACTTTCATCATCCTCCACTGTTCTCTTCATGTACTTTATGTTAAACTCCTTCAATCTCTTCTCGATTGCTCCCATGTCTTCACACTGCAAAAATACTTCAAATTCAAATTAAACAACAGTACTCATTTATGAAATATAATCTGATTATTAAAATCTAATTTAAATTAACCTGGAAAGAGATGTGGTTATCCATGGGATCCAGATGATCAGTATCAGGGAGCCTATCTTCATCCTTGGACTGCACCAGGTGAATTCCAACTCCATAGTTGAACAACCACGCACCATCGAAATCAAAAGCCGGTGGTCTTTCAATCAACACAAAACCAAGAACCTTGGTGTAGAAATCTATGGATTCCTTCACATTTCTGCACAGCCTCGACACGTGATTCAGAGCCATCAAAGGGAGTTCTTTTCCTTCATTGTTTTTCTCCTCAGCTTCCTCTTTGTCTCTTCTTGCTTGAACTTGATCCCCATTGGCCTTACTGTTCTCCCCCATCGTCCTGTGAATAGTACGTACGTACTTCAATAACTTGTTTAACTAATGTTGCTGCGTTTTCTAAAGAATGGTGTGGAGGCAGGACTAGGAACGAGGCGGCGGGCGACAGGTGGAGAGGACTGAGAGGACTGAGGAGGAGATAGAAGATGACACGTGGAGGATTGCATGAAATGGACGCTTATGTTTTGTCCAGCAGCTGACAAGTTACATTATGAGTTTCAGTGAAGATTTTATGTTCCAAGATAAAGGTAGAAGTTGACTAGAAAGTACTACCAAATAAAATACTAGCCAGTTAAATAGGAAAGTATTACGAAGTAAAATTTAAAAATTTATAAAAAAACTTCTTAAGTTTGTTAATTTAACTAAATACCTTAATATATAAAATTTTTGTAAAATAATAAAAACATCCTCACCCACCCTCAGTGCCAAATTCTGGCTACCACCATCAGAATCTAGCCAAAAAATGATGTTACGATGCAGACCGGTCAGATCTGATAGATAGGGTGTCGATAAAACCTTTTCTAGCCAGATCTACCATGAATCTGGTCAGAAAAGGTCAGATCTACGGCCAGATCTGGCCTTCGACGGTCGAAAAAGTCTAGATCTAGCCGTCAGCGACGACCAAAGATATGACACCATTAATGACAGTCAAAGAGCCGGAAAAGGCCAGATCGGTGAATTACCAGCCAGTTCCGGTGTTTTGTAGGCCGTTGTGATGGTGGTTGCCAGAATCTGGCAAGTATGGGTGGATGTGGGTGTTTTTGTTAATTTTTAAACTTTTTCTGGGGGTATTTGATGAAATTAATAAACTTAAGAGGTCTAAAAGTAATTAAAAAATATTAATATTTCTCAAATAACAAAATAAACAATATTTTGGGAATAGGATTGGGAATATAGATAGAAATAATGTGCCAAACACATGTTCGGTGAAGGAAGGCATCTCTATTCCAAGAAATACAATATTTGTATTTGTATTATATAATTTGATTTGAATAATAAACTTCGTTAATTACATTGAAACATAATATATTTTTATTTGAATACACATATCCAATACGATCACTTATATCTACGATGTCTCATCGATNAGTACGTACGTACTTCAATAACTTGTTTAACTAATGTTGCTGCGTTTTCTGAAGAATGGTGTGGAGGCAGGACTAGGAACGAGGCGGCGGGCGACAGGTGGAGAGGACTGAGAGGACTGAGGAGGAGATAGAAGAAGACACGCGGAGGATTGCATGAAATGGACGCTTATATTTTGTCCAGCTGACAAGTTACATTCTGAGTTTCAGTGAAGATTTTCTATTCCAAGTTAGTTTAAAACAAAGAATTTAGAGTTCGGTGAATGAAGGCATCTCTATTTCAAGAAATACAGTATTTGTATTTGTATTATATAATTTGATTTGAATAATAAACTTCGTTAGTTACATTGAAACATGATATATTTTTATTTGAATACGCGTAACCAAATATATTCTCATTGACCCATCTCTCATAAAGACCAATCATTTAATATATATATATATATATACACACACGATTTCTCCCCGACCCACCTCCCTAAAGACCTTATTCATCCACCTCTTATAAAAACCAATTATCCACTACGTATATGATTCCTTACCAACTGACCTCCTAGAAAGACTAATTATACAATATGTATATACGGTATCTTTCTAACCCATCTTCCATAAAAACCAATTATATAATATATCTCGCAAAAAGTTGACCTAATGGTCAAAGAGGTTTGCTCCCTTCCTTGGGTTCCTATGTTCAAACCTTGAGACCACCTATCACAATAATATTGTGACTTACCTGATCTATCATTTGAGCTTGTAGGGTGTTCAATAAATCTTGGAGATTAGTTAAAGTACGCTCAAACTAGCCAAAATATTCCGGTTACAAAAAAAAAAAAAAGAAACCTAATTATACAATATATATATATATATATACACACACACACACACACATACACGATTCCTCATCGACTCACCTACCATAAAGACCAATTATGCAATATATATTGTCAAGTGAACTTGAACTTGAATATTTAGGTAATCATTTTACGTGATTCGAATACAAAATCTTTGAATAATTTATAGCTTTGCCCTCCTACCACAAACCAGGGATTGTTATAACAGTAATGCTAGTTTTATAAAGATATATACAAAGAGAGCATATAAAGACAATCCCCACACTTGATTTTCATGATTTCTTTCTTTCTATCTTTTTCTTTTTTCGTTTTTTCTTTATTTTTTTCTTCTGAATAATTTATAACCCTCTTTATATGGGTCTTTATAAAGGTATCATTTTTCTTGTTATAATACACTATTATACATTATCATTGTATGATCCACTATTCTACACTATTGTTCGCATGATACACATATCCAATGAAAGGTCTCCGAGTGGTGGGACGTACGTAAAAAAACTTTTTCGATGAAAATAATGTACTTGGTTAAGTTGACTTAGGTAGTACTCAAACATTCAATTCCACGACCAGAGGCAGGTAAGGCTTCTTATGTAAGGCTAAAATTAACCGACACAATCTAGGGCCCACTACGGCCCAAAACTAAACTCACCCCCACACGCACTCTCACGCTCAGCTGCAAACGCCATCAGTATCACTTCTCGTGTCTTGTCTCCACCCAAGCGGAAAACCGGACGACCCGAAATTCGAATCGGATCGAATCAAACCAAACCCCAACCTCAACCCGAACCAAACATGTACCGAGACGTCTCCAGCTGCAACACCTACAACTACGGTGACGCGCTCTACTGGGACGCGCGCTACGTGCAGGAGACCGGTTCCTTCGACTGGTACCAGCGTTACTCTGCTCTCCGTCCTTTTGTTCGCAAGTACATCCCTACCTCTTCGCGTATTCTCATGGTCGGCTGTGGCAATGCCCGTAATTTCTCACTTACTTTCTGTCTCTATTTATATCTTCCTTTTGATTCCAAGATTTAGTAATTTTTTCAATTATGATAATTTTTGTAATTTTCAGTTTTGTTTGCTAGGGAAGTGTGAGAAATTGTTGTGATTTTTATAATTAATTTTGCTTTGTGTTTGGTTTATGAGAAAGTGTTGATTTTTTCAGAGAATGTGTTTGATATTATTAGAAAACTTTTATGTTCTCATAAGATTTCTTGTTTCCTGTGTTTTAAAAAACAAAGAATCGTATGTACTTTATGCTTTGTTGAAGTTCGTTTCGACGTCTGTGATGATGTTACATATCACTAATTGTGGCTTCATTATTTGCAATGTCATTTAAGTTTGGTCATGTTTAATTGGTTCTTCTCGAGAATTATTATAATGGAAAATTTATTTAAATGCTTTGCAGTTATGTCTGAGGACATGGTCAAGGATGGGTATGAAGACATAATGAATATTGATATTTCTGCAGTGGCCATTGAGATGATGAAGAGAAAATATGAGTATATCCCTCAGCTAAAATGTATCCTGTTAAAGAAACTTCTGAATTAGTGTCGGTTGCGAATTCTTTATTTGTTTTTTACTCATGTAACCATGCCTACTTCTTTCTTTGTTTTCTTTATTGATCTCAATAGACATGCAATTGGATGTTAGAGATATGAGTTTCTTTCCGGACGATTCTTTTGATAGTGTCGTTGATAAAGGTAAGGCTTGACCCTTGTGTTACATTCTTGTTGAAAGTTGTAAACGTCGGTATTGAGTTAGTTCCTTATATGTTGGTGTTACTTTGTTGTTGCTGCTGAATCTACAAACATGGCTTGCTGATCCGCAATCTAGGAACTCTTGATTCTTTGATGGTACGATGAATATTCATATGTTCTCATGATTCCATTTGTTCATTATGTAGCATCTGCAATTATTTACCCTGTCTAATGGGGCATTGGCATGTTTTAATTCTTTTCTTGTGCTTATATTTTAGTGTGGCTCCGATGCTCCTATTAGTGCGGCTCAAATGCTGGGTGAAGTGAGCAGGTTATAGACTTCATTTCACTTTAAAATTTTGATTCTTTGTTTTGCATAAGCTTTCAATGTTTTGCTTTTATCAAACCTAGAATTTTATTGAGTGCTCACACACCCATGCACACACTAATAAAGTGTTCTTTGTTACATATCTCTGTGTGTGTGCCAAGTGTCTGCTTACTCATTTATCTTCTATTTTTTTAGTCTTTCTGAATATCATTTTCTTTTCTCATGTAGGCTTCTTAAACCTGGAGGGATCTATATGTTGGTAACCATGATCCCAAAGATTTAGCTATATTTTGTCATTGTTCATTAATTTATTGGAGTAGTTCCAAATATATGATGTGTTCTTAATTTGTTATCAACAGATAACTTATGGTGATCCTAAAGTAAGGATGATTCATTTGAACCGCTCGGTATACAATTGGAAAATTTTATTGTACATAATACGTAAGTTTCCTTTTCCATTTTTACTTCTTTAGTTGTACACATTGTTTTACTTTCCCATTCATAAGTATTATTATTATTTGGGTGTGATGGTGTGTCATCCTTATGGAGCTTTTAGATAAATATTTACTTCATGAAAGGAAAGAAAAATATATCTGCCCGCAGAGGGTAGTAAAATAGGGACGGAAAGACAGAGTTAAAAAAAGATTGTCTTAAATTCTTTTCCTTATTCCATCTTATTCTTTATTCTTGCCCTGTCTTTCCCTATCCTTTTTTTCTCACTTGTCAAATTGGCTCCCTGATTAACATTATGCATATCAACTGGAGTTCATATTACCTTTTCGTTATCTCATATCTTGAATTATATAATATACTTGTTCCTAAATATTATGGATATAGATATATATATATATATGTATATATTGAGATAACTTAATAAGATCTACATGTTATTTGTTTTTTAATATGTTTATTTACATTTTTGCTTTCCGTTTGACCATCTCGTTGTGGTTGTACACTGTTTCTATTTATGTTCTCTTCTGTTGAAATGAGATTGGAGGTCAATAATGTGTTTAGGGCTGGTAGAAGTGTCAGTGGGACTTTGAGCATACATAATTTTGAATCTGGTGGGTCCACCTGGCCCGTTGATAGCTTGAATGTAAATGGGCTAGAAAAGAGGCTTGGGGTTTTTTTCCAAGTAAATTGAAAGGGCTTGGAGGGCCTAGTACAATTAATCATGTGTTTGGGATCAGGTTTTCTTTTTCAGTTTTGAGTTGAGAAGGTGTTGCTATCCTAAATCCTAATTGGTTTCACCCGTAGCAATAAATAATATGCTACATCATAAAGGCTCTTGACATTCCATGGCATGTATGTAAGAGAAAAATCAGAATGATTTTGTATCGAGGAAATATGTGTTCCGATTTTCCTTGGTATCCGTTGATTTACTGGATTTTCTTTTGTCTTGCCTTGATTTGTTGCATTGGCTTTATGATTTTATCAATTTGACACAATAAATTTTCATAACAAATTGAGAGAAAGGAATAGTGGTTTTTGTTTTGATATCCTTTTTTTGTTGTCCTCTTGCAGCTAGACCGGGGTTTGAAAGACTTGAAAGTGGTAGTTCTTCAATGAAATCATATTTGGAGCCTATTCCGACCAATGAGAATGGCCACCTTCCAGCAGACTTCGTAATGGACGATCCCGATTCTCACTTCATATATGTGTGTAAAAAGATGGATGAAATGGATCTGAGTAATAAACCCACCCATCCAATGGAAGCCGATATTCTATAGGAGCGATTTCGGATGAAATGCAAGGTGCTCTGCTACAAGCTTCAATATGCAGCAGCATATAAATTATAATAACTAGTACCATTTATTTTCACTTGTACAACCAGGAATAGTGAGTAGGCATTCGTACAGTTTTTGTAACTTAAGATGGTATTTTTATGATTCCACTTGGTAGGTTAACTTCTGGATTTGCCAAATAAATACGGACAGAAATCCATAGAGACTTCAGTGGCAGTAAACTCAGTCTTCTTATCTTGTCATGAGAAGCAGTTTAATTTTGGTTTTCAATTCATCATTCAAGTCAATATTGTGCTTCTTTTTTGATATTATTATTATATTAGCTGTTACGTCAATTTATTATAAGAACAAATGGTATGTATAATTATTTTATACGTGTAGACTGAAAGTATTGACAGAATACAAGTAATTTATTATGCTATAAGTTTTTAAAGTTTTTGGGTAAAAGAAAAAGAAAGAAGAAACTTACAAGGTAAGACAATGTTGTATTGTTGATGAAGTGCGTAAAATTTCTTGATGAAATCTACATAAGGGTATTTAGTAAACTGGTATTTTGATGCTAAATTAGTATGAAAATAATCAGCAAATACAAAGAGTAAACAATTTTTAAAGTGGTTCGAATATAAGATGCAAATGTTACGTTATTTTATTACTTTTTTTGTATATTTTTCACCTATAAGCGAGCTTAGCTTTTAGCATAAATGAGGCGGTCTTCAATAACAAAAGAAAAATGGTTGAAAAAATACCCTGATTAAGATGAGAGATCTATTTATATACTGTTACATTGGTAGACTTACAAATGAAGTAATCCTAACATAGAGTAACACATGATTTGAGTGATAGCATAACCTTAAGACTTACCAAATTGAAATAGCCCTTGTAGACTTAAAAATGAAGTAACCTTTTTATAGATAACACGGGACCTGAATGATAGAACAACCTGGATACGTGGCGTGAATGCATGCTGCATAAATTTACCACATAATAGATAATCATCTCTAATGTATTGATGTTTATAGCAAATTCTGTTCTCATAACCTGACGCGTTTGTTCTTTATCTTAATTTTCATACATTCTACCCGTATATTCGGTGTATTGTTATTTCTAAACAACAACAATCCAGCTTTCTAAATTAACTATAAATGGTATAAACCGTTGTAAGCGTGTATATATATTAGTTTACATCCACCGTCACCCTCTCAGACCACCTTTTACCAGAGTTTTTGTTTTTCAGTTTTTAATGTCTACAAGCATTGTAAAAGACCCTGGAGAAAGCATTTTGAGTAGATTTGACTCCTTGGACATTGAATCTCTAAAAATTTCTGCCCGTGATGGCTGTAAGGTAATGATTATGATCTCTTTTACGTACCAAATAAAGTTTGAAAGAACTTGTTTTGTTTTTGTTAATTGTTGTTTGTTTGTTTGTATGTAAGGTTATGAAATGGNGATAGAATACAAGTAATTTATTATGCTATAAGTTTCTAAAGTTTTTGGGTAAGAGAAAAAGAAAAATAAGATACTTAACGTGGTAAGACAATGTTGTATTGTTGATGAAGTGCGTAAAATTTCTTGATGAAATCTACATAAGGGTATTTAGTAAACTGGTCTTTTGATGCTAAATTAGTATGAAAATAATCAGCAAACACAAAGAGTAAACAATTTTTAACGTGGTTCGAATGCTATATTATTTTATTATTTTTCTTGTATATTTTTCACCTACAAGCGAGTCTAGTTTTTAGCATAAACGAGGCGGTTTTCAATAACAGAAGAAAAAAAGTTGTAAAAATCCTCTTATTAGGGTGAAAGATCCGTTTATATATTGTTACATTGGTAGACTTACAAATAAAGTAATTCTAACATAAAGTGACACGTGGTCTGATTGATAGCACAACCTTAAGACTTACCAAATTGAAATAATCTTTAGTAGACTTAAAAATGAAGTAACCCTCTTATAAATAACACGCAACCTGAATGACAGTACAAACCTAGGATACGTGTCGTGAATCCATGCTGCATAAATTTAGCACATAACAGATAATCATCTCTAATGTATTGAAGTTTATAGCAAATTCTGTTGTTCTCAGAACCTGACGCGTTTGTTATATATCTTAATTTTCATACATTCTACCCGTAATTTCGGTGTATTTTTATTTCTAAACAACAACAATCCAGCTTTCTAAATTAACTATAAATGGTATAAACCGTTGTAAGCGTGTATATATATTAGTTTACATCCACCTTCACCCTCACGACCACCTTTTACCAGAGTTTTTGTTTTTCAGTTTTTAATGTCTACAAGCATTGTAAAAGACCCTGGTGAAAGCATTTTGAGTAGATTTGACTCCTTGGACATTGAATCTCTCAAAATTTCTGCCCGTGATGGCTGTAAGGTAATGATTATGATTTCTTTTACGTACCAAATAAAGTTTGAAAGAACTTGTTTTGTTTTTGTTAATTGTTGTTTGTTTGTTTGTGTGTAAGGTCATGAAATGGTCGATAATCCTGCAACTGGCGTTTCAGAGTATTGGGGTCGTGTATGGAGATATTGGCACATCACCCCTATACGTTTATTCCAGTGTATTCAGTAGTGGTATCAATCATATTGATGATATTCTGGGTGTTCTCTCTTTGATCTTTTACACCCTCACTTTGATCCCTTTAATCAAATATACTTTCATCGTTTTGCAAGCCAATGACAATGGCGATGGTAAGGTTATTTATTAATTATAAGATCTGCATGGTATCTGTCTTATCAAGTATATTTATTCATAGTTATTTGTATTATATTAGGAGGGACATTTGCTCTATACTCTTTAATATGCCGATATGCCAACGTGGGCTTGCTCCCGAGTCGACAAGCCGAGGACTCTAATGTATCGAATTTCCAGCTTGAGTTGCCTAGTATCAGTAAACGTATGAGACTGGCATCAACACTCAAGTCGAAGCTTGAGAAAAGTGGCTTTGCCAAGTTTTTCCTATTCTTTGTTACATTGCTTGGTACTTCCATGGTGATTGGAGATGGTATCCTCACCCCTGCTATCTCAGGTTTGCCACTTCTCTTAATTTTTGCTTTAGTATCAGTCAGTTGTTTCGCTGTTGCAGAAATAGATCATATATTATGTTCCTCTCATATAAATTATAACTTGTGACAATGAAATATCTATTATTCCATAATGGACAGTTTTATCAGCTGTGGGAGGTCTCAAGGAAGCTACACCTGCGATGACACAAGGTACATCCTCATTTTATCTTATATTCAAAGGTGTTTTCGTATTATTTCTGTGCTGAATACACTACTATTATTGCGTGAAGCATTTATTTGTTTTCTCTTTTGTGTATACAGAGAAGATTGTTTGGATATCAGTGGCCATACTGGTCTTCCTCTTCATGATTCAAAGACTTGGAACTGACAAAGTAGGCTACAGTTTTGCTCCTATACTCATTGTTTGGTTCGCATTCATTAGTGGCATTGGGGTTTATAATATCATAAAATTTGACCCAGCAGTAGTCAAAGCTGTAAATCCGATGTACATAATTGATTATTTTAGTAGAAACAAAAAAGAAGCTTGGATTTCCCTTGGTGGCATTGTCCTCTGTACAACAGGTATTATTCTCTTCAGGTTTTCAACTTGTAAATACTTATTTGAGTAAGTCTTTCATTTTGCTAAATGAAATATGATTTGTTAATAGGATCCGAAGCATTATTTGCCGATTTGGGTCACTTCACAGTTCGGTCTATACAAATAAGCATGTGCTCTGTGGTATACCCTGCCCTCATCTTGGCATACACTGGACAAGCTTCCTTCCTTCGAAAGCACCCTGATCTTGTTGGAGATAGCTTTTTCAAGTCCATACCAGGTGAAGAATAAATATACAGTTCTGGTTCTTTTTCTTCAGAGTTCTATTTTAAACCAAATTATCTATATTTTGATCCATTAATTATTTCTTTGTTGGTTAAACAACTCAGATGCCGTTTACTGGCCAATGTTCGTGGTGGCCGTATTGGCAGCAATAATAGCAAGTCAAGCCATGATTTCAGGAACTTTCTCCATCATTCAACAATCACTTTCATTAGGGTGTTTCCCTCGTGTGAGAATTGTACATACATCAGCTAAGTATGAAGGGCAAGTTTACATTCCTGAAATGAATTACCTACTCATGCTGGCTTGTGTAGGCATTACTCTGGGTTTCCAGGACACTACAAAGATTGGCAATGCATATGGTAATTCCACAACTCGGTTATAATGATGCAAAAATTTAATTGCACTCAGTCTACCAATCATATAACAAATGAACTGATGAATTTGTTGCTGCTACAGGATTGCGGTGGTATTTGTAATGACACTAACAACATCCTATTGGCACTCATCATGATAATGATATGGAGATCCAACATACTTTTAGTAGTCTTCTATCTTCTGATCATTGGTTCTGTGGAGTTTGTTTATTTAAGTTCAGTTTTCTACAAGTTTGATCAAGGAGTATCTTACCCTCGCTTTTGCTGCGTTTCTAATGACCTATGTATGTTTGGACAATGTGTATCGAAAAGAATTTATTAGAACTTCAGCACAAGATTTCCCCAGTAAGCTATACGAGATAACTGTGACATAAATTGTTGTGGATTTCTGGATTGGCTATGTTCTACTCAGAGCTTGTTCATGGCATCCCACCTATCTTCCAACATATGCCATGAATGTACGCATTGCACTCAGTTCTTGTCTTCGTTTCTCTCAAATCACTACCCATTAGCAAGGTCCCCATAGAGGAGCGATTCATTTTCCGTAGGGTAACTCGAATGAGCTTAATGTGTTGTTGTGTTGCGAGATACGGATACACTGATGTACGCAATGAAGAAGAATCCTTTGAAAGAATGCTGTTCAAAAATTGAAGGACTTTATAAGGAAGATTATATGATCTCTCACACGCAAACATGAATATCGAGGATATACTAAAGTGGATACTGAATTGCCGTCGATTAGACAGTGACGAGAATGTGAATGATAATGTAATCAGGAGAGAATCTAAAAGAGGAAATGGAGAGAGATATAGAAATGTGGAGAAAGCATGGAATGTGGGTTGTTCACTTGGTTGGTGAGACAGAGGTGGTAGCAACAGAAGGGTCTGGCATTTGGAAGAGAATATGATAAATCATGCATACAATTTCTTGAAGAATGTTTTGAAAAAGTGATAAAGTGTTTGATGTCCAACACAGAAAATGCTCAAAGTGGGAATGACTTATGAGCTTAAATTACCACAACATAACTAAGCTGGTGGAACTGGAATAGAGCCTTGGAATTGAAGAGGTAGCTGAAAAATTATCCGTTACAAGGTTCAGTTTTTCAGTTTCAGATTCTTCAATGGTAGATGGTGGTCTCTTCTGATAAGCAATACACTTTGTACAAGTAAAATGTTAATAGATATGTTAAATTTTGAGACAGCATTTGGTTTGACGAACCTGTTGAAGGGGTTAAGAGCCTTTGATGTTTAATTTTATTATTTGATGTAAACGAGAACCTGGTTCGTTCTAAATTAGAGAAGTACATCAGCATTGAAGAGAGGTTTTTATTCAGTGTTCAGAAAACTGCAGCAATACATAATCCATGCAAATATGAACAGATCCAACAAGAAAAATTCAAAACATGTCTGAATGACAAATAATAGCAATTGCATTCAGTTGCCTGATCAAGAAACCATCCTGCATAGTAAGTTCTGTAAATTATCTTTTTTCGAAAAGTGAAGTCATTCTCCAATTGCAATGAAACAAGTACATTGGACATAATTCACGGCTAAAATGGGTCCAAAATCAAGATGAAAGCTGCCCAAATCAAAAGGAAAGAATCTATATGCAATTACTTACAAGATCAACAGATTCTCTTAACTTCCATTCTCTGCCTTTGCTTCAAACCAATAGAACCATTGCACATTGCTCCATTTTGACTTTAATTAACTTGGTTTAATCTCTTTACATCAAAATTTTGAACTTATATCACATATTATAAAAAAAAACCAATCGAATAGACTCATGATTGATCCATAATTAACAGTTTCTTGGTGTTCATTAACAAAATGTTTATAAGTTTGATTTTCTAATTAATAATTCATGGGGAGACTCTAAGATAAAACAAACCCTACCTCAATTAATTAAACTAAACCCAACCAATTTCATCTTCACTTCCATTTCCAGATAAAGCCTGTGCCTATGTGTTTCCAATTTATTTTGAAAAAAAAAAAAAAAAAAAAAAAAAAAAAAAAAAAAAACAGAAGCTAGCCAATGTATGCTGTGAATGTCTAAAAGAAATTTTAGCAGCACTAAGCTTTGCTTTAGATTAATTAAAGAGCTTTGAAAATGTATCAATTCATTCGAATTACACCAACTTCTGGTAGAAAGAGTCTTAACAAGGAGCAGCTACAGAAGTAGAAGATAATGACTTTGGTTTTAAATAAAGTTACAGTTCGGCCAAGAAGAAATGTAGCCCCAGCAGCAGCAGCTGCACCAACAGAATCAGCAAGAAAGTCCACTGGCAGGCCAAAAAGATAACCACCACCAAGCTGAAAGAAGACCAAAATTCAAAAACTATCCCAATTTCCAGAAACTAACACTCAAATCTAGAGAAGTGAAGTCAGAATAGGTTGCAAGTCTAGCTAAAGCATCAGATTAGAGTTTAATACTTACAGTAAGCACGGATGCTGGAACAGCCAAAGCTCTCAGAGGAATTTATGCAACAGCCCTACATATCAACCACTGAAAATCAGTTTACAATTTTAAAAAAATAAAGTAAAACTTCCAGCATTGTCATTTGCAGTTAACAAATCTAGTACCTAAGACTGTTTACACATACAAAATATGGCGCAGACTGTTAGTAATCACACATAAGAACAGGGTTTCATTGACCAAAGGTGATAAATTAAAAGTTCTAAAAAATTCAGATGTGGATCTTGTCCCCCAAATCTTAGGACACAGAACACTGCTTCAATTAAAGATGTCTGATTTTGCCTTTTAAGCCCCAGTAAGATAGCATATCCAGTAATCCTAAAGAGAGGAATAAAAAGAGAGATGTCTTTTACCTTGCTCAATCGGCAGACGTTGTAAGTTATGCAGAAGCTGAAGACTCCGACGGACCCATGGGCGGCAGCTGGTAGTTGGGACTCGGTGCAGTTATGTAGAGAGAAAGGGAGTCAATCGTCTTTTGATTCACTGATTTAGGATATTATAAGAAATAGAAACTTAGGCTTTACTGTTCAGAACTTTAGATTTACTGATTTGGCCATTTACGATTTTATATAAAACTGGTTTTTAAAACCAGTTTCAGTTAACCGGTTTATATTATGAACTGAACTGATAACCAAACCGGAAAACTGTTTCAGTCATTTTCCTGAACTGAAACCGAACCGGTTTCGAAAAAAAAAAAAAACCAGATTTCTGGTTCGGTTTTGGTCCGGTTTTCCGGTTTGGTTTTCGGTTTTTTTTGTCCACCCCTACTAATCTGCATCTTTTGTAAACAAATATGCCCTGCAATAGAGCTAGTGAAAATAGTTTGCTCAACTACACGCAAGGCTTCTTTTCCATTCTATTGAATCTATGAAGACTTATGAATTAATTGTTACAGTTCCATGTTGGCATCATCTCCTGCAATAAAACCAAAATTAGCTCCTGGGTTCTTCTTTTGCAATACATAAACTAGTACTATTATTCACTACTAGAGCAAATAAAAGAAACTTTCTAAAAGTCATGAATAAGTTAGCTTCTCCACAATATAATCCACATGGATGTCAATAAATTTGTAACTTAAGAATCCACATTATCAGCAAAACTTACTGAATATTTTTAGAATGTTTCTTTAGATAGGAATAAACAAACACATGACCAACAAAGTGTTCTAATCAATTGGGATCACTCTAGAGTAACGAATTCATTAGTTCGGATATAAAATTGATAACATCACATTGTAAATCAATAGCAATGCGCGGAACCACAGTATTGAGATACTATTATGTTCTTTTGATTCACTTCGGTTGTCAAAAGTATCCTATTATATTATTAGACTATAAAACAAATTTCATGTACTGAGTCAAGTGTATGGTGATATATTTTGGAAGCAGAAACAGATGCCATTCATAGTGAAAAGGAAGCAGAAGAATCTAGTTATATTCCAAGAACATTAACATTCCAACATTGGCTTTTCTAATTTTCATTTGGACACAGTATGAATGTTGAGATTCATTACAACAATTTCATAGCTTAATGTTATATCAAAACATTCATCCTAGCGTAAAAGAACTACAGATCCAACACTTGGTATACCAAAAATGGCTTAAATTAGCGACTACCACAAAAAAAAAAAAAAAATTATTTATATTGAAAACAGTTCAAAGAGTTGAACCTGTTTCATTTCACATTCCTCTGAAATCCAGGGGAGGCGTCCAGAATATCGATTTTGCCCTGATATACATCTAAAAACTGAGGAACTTCTTATTGAAATTTGGTTACATACCTCTCAATAAATTTGCTCTGCCCAAGACATAAGAAACTGTATGGACATATATTTTCTTTGATCAATCCTTCGGAAAGCAGAACCTGAAAAATAAAACACGTCGGAGCAATCCTCTCTCTCTAAGCTGAAGAAGAGAACAGTTTGCGATTTGGAAATATTTTGAGACAAGCAACCCATTTTGTTCACAAGGAAGTCCATAGTTCTTGTAATATTCTCCTCAGATAGTTGCATACAAGCGTCTTTCAGGAATACTTGAAATGACTCGTGGGTGTGCTCTCACAACTTTAGAGATCTGGGTTTAGAACCCTAAGGACTGAGTCCGCTCTTTCAGTGTTCTTCAATTGAATCAACTTAGAAGCAGAAACAGCAGATTTTAAAGACAACCCACATGAGTTTATCAAGTATGAAGCCGCGAAAGACTCTCCTGTTCACTTTGTTTGGTTTTTAACGATCTCTTCTCTACAAGCGAAGATGATGAAAGAAACCTAAGAGTCTTTGACAGTTTCATACTTGATAAACTCCTGTTCTTGCTTTGAGAAAAAGCCCAGTTGAGTAGTTGTGAGATTCAGAACTAAATCCCTATCAGCAATTACCTTTCTTGTTGTTCTACAAAGAAAACGAAACATAATGAACTTAACTCTACTCTAAACTGCATTCCGGAAACTTCTTCAATTCAAACTGCCAATGCCAAGACTACGAAGGCTGAAGCTGAATATAGAGAATAAGATGTGGTTGGAATTCGACATTTTGGCGGCGGAATAAAGTTAATTGGGACAAGATAGGGTGGTGTTGGTGATTGGACAGCCGGTAGTATGGTAGAAGTGTAGAGAATCGGAAGTGCGAAAGAGAGATCTAGGTTAAGAAGGATGTGGGTTATGGTTATATAGATTCGTAATCCTGTGTGGGGATGTGTATACTAAACTTATTTACATGACCCCATAGGAAACTGACACATATTTTTCTTTCTTTGAAAAATGGAGTTCGGGTCAAGAAATGGTGAACAAAGAATTGTCAGGTCGGTTTCGGTCTTATCACTTGACCCGACACCGGCCGAAAAATCTGGTCACCATTTTCTTGACCCGATCTATACCTGGATCTAATTTTAACCCCATCTTTTGGATCCAAGATCACACAGTAATTTGCCTGTTCAAAGTAAATGGTAGGGATTTGCCGAAAAACACAGAACGTATCCAATGCCAGTCCTTGAGCTGCTCTTCTTCTTCCTCCTTCCTAAAATCTCCACTAAATTAAAGCAAAAATTTATCTGTATATTTCTAAGGACTGAGTCGTGGGTGTGCTCTCACAAGTCACAACTTTAGAGATCTGGGTTTTGGTGAAACCATGGTCGCTGAGAAACCTAAGGACTGAGTGCGCTCTTTCAGTGTTCTTCAATTGAATCAACTTAGAAGCAGAAACAGCAAATTTTAAAGAAAACCCACATGAGTTTATCAAGTATGAAACTGCCAAAGACTCTTCCTGTTCACTTTGTTTAGTTTTAAACCATCTCTTCTCTATATGCGAAGATGATGAAAGAAATCTCAGAGTCTTTGACAGTTTCATGCTAGATAAACTCCTGGTCTTATTTTGAGAAACCCAGTTGAGTAGTTGTGAGATTTAGAGCTAAATCCCTATCAGCAATTACTTTTCTTGTTGTTCTACAAAGAAAACGAAACATAATGAAGTTAACTGCATTCCGGAAACTTCTTCAATTCCAACTGCCAATGCCAAGCTGAATATTTATTTTAGTTGGTAGTTGAAATCCGACATTTCGGTGGTTCTTGATAGTTAAGTACATTTTAGTCCCTAACGTTTAGTCACCATAATTCAATAGAATTTTGGAAACTTTCTGTAAGTTATAAGAAAATAAAAATTAAATCAATAGGGGTATTTTAGACTTTTCGAAACTTAAACATTGCTAACGAACTGGTCTGGCAAGAATGTACTTAACTTGTGTTCCTAATACTTCATTTGTTATAATTTTTGTTCCCCTTCCTACTTTTCAAATTTGGCAATGTACACCCTATTAATATTTTCCCCTGCCTAATAGTTTGAACTTCTTACATTTTTACCCCTCCATATTCTCCAATCCACCTTTTTTTTTATTTTATTAAATACGTTTTGTATTAAAACTAAACTTTAATGGAAATACTCTTTTGTTCCTCCAATTACTATTTACCTATTTCTTCCCGATCCTTATTATCTACATTATACCTAGTTTCCAACTTTCCATATATTCACACCCTTTCTCTTTCTCATCAATTTTTTTTTTTTTTAATATACATTTTATATCTAAGATTAATAACGTTATGCCTAAAAAATCAGGGTTATCGTAAGCTCACGCCAACAAGGGTCAATCAGAGTTCATGAAGGTTTTGTGTTGTCCAAACACTGCCATGTCGCTCAAGGACGGAAGAGGTAAACTGTTGTCAGTGTGGNAATTTCAACTTTTCTTAATAAAAAAGAAACCGGAAGACAAATCCCAGTGAAGGAAAGTGAACCTCGTTCATTGAACCAATTGCAAATATCCTCTTCTTCCTTCTCATCACACTTCTCATCACATAAAGATCTACTTCTTATCATACTGCATATTTTTTTGTCTATGTTCCAATCCTCAAGCGAAGACTTCACACTTTCATAGACATCATCTATGTCTGCTTCCAAGAAAATAATCCTATCTTTCCGTTCCCAACTATCACCAATAAACCAGATTCTCATTAACCACATTTCCACTACAGGCAACCGCTCAATTGTCACATTAAATCGACATGGGAGTTTATCTAAATATCCACGAAGCTCATCCTTCTCTTGTTGATAAACATCAACTATATCATTCTTTATGTCTTTTATCCCATACTTAATAATCTTTCGCACCAAATCAGAGCCATTCAATTCTGGATCAATCAAACTTTTCTCTTTTGCTTTATCAACACCTCCACCTGGATTTCTCAAACATGGGCAGCTTTTTAAATGATTTCTGAGATGTGTGGTTCCACTCTTACTTGATCCGACAAACTCTTTCTTACAGTGTTTACACCGAGCCCATTCCTTCCCATCTTTGACATGATATATGAAGTCTTCCCAAACCTTTGACCATCTTTTCCGTGTAGAAAATGATGAATTCTCCACATTTGTATTCAAAACCATATCAATCTCTTTATTTTGTTCTCTTATTTGGGCAATTTCCTGTTAATATACAAATAGTTCTATCACTTAATAAACAATAAAAAGCAAATTTAATTGACCTCGATGAGACAGAATGAATACAAGTATTTTAGGTGACCAAGTCTATTTCTATAGTTTGCTATTGAAAACCTTTTGAAGAAGAAAGAGACGAATAGAGAAAGTTTTAAGAAAAGAATTTTCAGAAATGTTCACTAATGATTCATTTGTTTTAGTTTGAATATAAGCAAGATGACAGCTCATTGATCCTTCCATCAATCATTGTGAGCCAAAGATGAACAGCTGAGATTAAGTATTCTAGATTTCCTCTTATTAATATGTATAAGAGAGAGAAAGAGAAAGAGTTACTTGTCCATAGCGCAGATTTGTTGTATTGATATTGGAAGATACATGTGCTTCTCTCAGTTGTGCTAAAGATTCAATCTCCTATATATTTTAAAGGTAAAAAAATGTAATATCATGAATTATTTCCTTCACCAAAACCATCAAAACAGAGAATCCAAATCAACTCTAATTTACCTTTCGTTAAACAAACTCAAGGAAAGCAACATATGGGAAAATTATCCAATATACTCTTATTCCATTACTTGTATAATTTTCTATAGCAACATATGTGTGGTAAATTATTTAATTAATTATATAACATACCATTAATAATATAAATATGTAATTAATAAATAATTTTAATTTAATAATATTATTATAGCCTATAATTAATACAAATATTAGTTAGAACTAAAACCAGTGAAGTGTTAAAAAAAATTAAATAATAAAAAAAAACCCCTTAGTATGCAAAGGTTACCTGTACTGCTTGTCGTTGAAGAGATTGAAGATAGGTCATGATTTCATTAACCCTTCCAGCACTTTCTGTGGTCAAGTTGTCCTTGTACCATTCTACTAAATCTTTCAAACACTTCATTCCCTCACTGATTTTTATCTTTCCCATCTGCATAAATTACAGAGACGAGAGAGAGAAAATTTAGTGGAGAGGTGGAGATTGAACATGAATGAGAAAAGACATACTTACTTGAAAACAAAGATGAGGATCAGATGCAATGGATATCGCTTCCATCTCTTTCCTTACAAATGAGCCTAATTAAATCAATGTGTAAGTTTTTGAGCGATAAAATTAGAGCAATCCTTGAGTGTATCTATAGAAATTAGGGTGAGCGAGTGGTTCTTTCTGAGAAAATTTAGCTGCCCGGTCCCCCCAAGTCTGCATTTAAGAAAATGGCCTTGATACTGTTCATAAAATATTTTATAATTTAGAGAAGATGACGTGGCATAGTTAGGATTAATTAAACACGTAAAATGGGTTAAAATGAAAAGATTAAAACATATGTGGGCCGAATCAGAAATAATGAAAGTTTTCAAAATTTGAAATTTCGCAAAACAAGCCCCACACTCTATTCACGTCGCTTAATCGAAATTCATCAGTTGAAAACGCGATTTCTTGAACGAAAGGGAGACGCGATTTTTTCCGATCCAACACCAATTGATTTGCACCCTAAATCAATTTCTTGAACCCTAAACCGAATACAGTCGCGATTTTCGGCNTTGGGTTTGTTTGCAACAATTTCGGGTTTGTGGGAATATAGTATAATTTTGAAAAGATTACATAATACTTCTTTAATCATAATTAAGCACTAATCAAGTTTAATTACCCTTAATCAATAATATGACTATTTACTTAAAACTTTAAAACTTGATAGCTTTTTAATTAAATTAAAACTTGAGAGGTTGTTTTAATAAACTCCCCCCTTAAGAAAATGGTCTTGAAAATGTTTTTTGTTTTTTTTTTTTTATTTAGAGAAGATGACGTGGCATAATTGGTCTTGAAAATGTTTTTTGTTTTGTTTTTTTTTATTTAGAAAAGATGATATGACATAGTTAGAATTAATTAAACATATAAAATGGGTTAAAATGAAAAGATTAAAATATATGTGGGCCGAATCATAAATAATGAAAGTTTTTAAAATTTGAAATTTATCAAAACAAGTCCCATCTATTCACCTCGCTTAATCGAAATTCATTAGGGCAAAAAGTGATTTCCTGAACCAAAGGGAGACACTGCGATTTTTTCTGATCGAACCTGTAAATTTACACCCTAAAATCAATTTCTTGAACCCTAAACGGAATACAGTCACGATTTTCAGCGATATAGTCATGATTTCCGATCGATTTCTTGAACCCTAAACGGAATCTGTGTGATTTCTGATGATACAGTCCACATTTTCGATCAAAACTGCAAACTTTGACACCAAATTCAATCCAAAACCATGGCTGACAATCACAATGAGGATCCGATCAGTGAAGGTGGTCCATAGCAGAGGAGACGATGGCGGCACAAGAACAGAGAGAAGAATCAGCAAACGATTCTGAAGATGAGGAGTCAGGCGAGAATTCAGGCCAGGAGGAGTCGTCCGAGGATTCAGGCGACGAGGAGGAGGCCGGCTAGAATGCAGTCGACGAGGAGCCCGGCGAAGAAAGGGTACGTATTTGTTTTGGGAATATTGCTTGTACTGTCACTTAAGCGATCATTTGTATCGCTTAAGCGATTAATCTCTTTTACTCATTATCGCTTAAGCGATTGATTCAGTTTACTCTTGGTCGCTTAAGTGATCTTGTCGAAGCAGAATCACATATATAAGATCGCTCTTAAGAGATTCTTTCAGTTTACTCTTGGTCGCTTAAGCGATTTCAGATCGCTTAAGAGATCTTGCACGAGGCAGAGTCAAGATCTCTTAAGCGATCTGAAATTGCTTAAGCGACCACAGAGGTAATTTTTTGTTGCTGATATTTTGTTTATTAGTTGTTTTGGTTTATTTTTGTTGCTGACATTTTGTTTAAATCGATTGTGCAGATTGTGTGGACCGTAAACTGTAGAGACTACGAGTTGGAGCTTATAAGTGATAAGGTACCCTACTTCCCTGCAAGGGTGACGGTGAGGTCGAGTTGGGATGTTTTTGACAGAATAAGGGACATTTTAGCTGGAATGAGGCATGGTGTAAGAGATTTCCGTCGCACTTGTTTCAGTTAGTTTTTAAGAATCGGCACAAATTGGAAAAAGGCATTTTGGGGGTAGGGAGTGCATTACATGTTGCTGCACTCAGTAAAATGCAATAACAAAAAAGAAATGTGGTTCGTGGTGGACGGAAAGCCACTACGTTTTGGGATGATAGAGTATGTCTTGGTGACGGGCTTAGGATGTGGGGAAGTGCCAGATAAGGTAGAGGCAGACGCAATAAGGACGAGTCCGGGAGCCAAAAGGTTTCGTAAGAAGGTTTTGCAGGGGGCAAAGTCTATTACAGGACATGTTTTAGAGAAGAGGCTACAAANGGGGGGGGGGGGGGGGGGGGGGGGGGGGGAGGAGCAACAGTTTGGATGTGCAACAGCAATTTCCTAGGATGTTGCGGTGGCATGTTGAGAGGTGTACCCATTGGGACTACGACCAAATAGATATTAAGATTGAAGCGGCTAGGGTAAGATTAAAGAATTAAGCTTTTGAATATGCAGTTGCTTTAAAATATCGCTTCAAACTGATTGATTTTGTTTCTTATTGCAGGGAGTCGTTCGTCCCTTTCTCACCGCTACTGGGGATGAAGCGGAAAAGGACTATGTCACATCTTTCAAAGCACTGGAGGATGAAAGGGATGAACGGATAGACCGCTTGATGCGGGACCTAAAAAGGGTCACGCATGCGACGACAGTTGCAGGGCCACTGCTTGACAAAGTGGTTGATGCCGAGGATGATGAAGCTCCAATCGGCGGGAGGCCCGAGGATGAGGAGGAGAAGAGGGAGGAAGAGGTTCGTATGCCTCAGCAAACCGGTACAACAAATACCACTTTGCCGAGACATCGGTGCAGGAGAATGAGGTGGTTGACCTCATAAACGGTCTGTTTGAGAGTTTTACAACAACCGTTTATGACAGGTTTGACAAGATGGAAGAGCGTATGAAAATGGTGGAGGAGAAAGTGGATAAGTTGGCAGAGAAAGTTGGTACAGTGGAGGAGGAAATTGGTGGAGAATTAAAGGCGGTTGAAGTGCAAACTAGGCTGAAAAGAGAGAGCCGAAAGAGCAAGTTTGTGCAATCGCCTTACATGGTAGTGACACAGGTAAAGAAGAGGAAAATTAAGAAACAAATAGAGGAAGAACCAGAAATGGAGGAGGTTGGTGGAGGAAGTAGGGCGGTGATAGTGGAGGAAGTGGGGCGGTGATAATGGAGGAGGGCGAGGTGGGAGGCAAAGGAAGCTGGCATGTAAAAATGGAGGAAGGGGGAGGAAGTGGGTAAGCGAAAATGGACTCAAATGTCAATTTGTATAGGCCAATAGCGGAAAAGAAAAAACTCTTCAATGCCTATTACAATGGATCAGGAAGTAATGCCCATATAAAGTGTAAGACAGGGGATTATCCCCGGGAATGGTTTGAAAAGTTGTTGACGATGGGCACGTGGCTTGAGGACTCGGTGAGTTATTTTCGCTTAATTTTCCTTATTTTTGCCTATGTTTTCCATACTTATCTTGTTGTTTTTATTTGATGCAGCACATCGATGAGATATTGGCACTGATGAGGCTACGATAGACTACTGATGGTGATCTATTGTATCCCGACTGTGCCATCACCGATGTGACGTTTGGCCAAACGCTTGTTTCGGTATATCGTACTTTAATTAAAAATGTCGTTGCTAGTGGTGCAGCAAAAGGACCGAAGCGAAAAAAGATTGGCCCCATAACAGTTGGCCTGCATCCTTGATGATTTTCATTTTGATGATAGGATTATGCAGTATATATGGGGGGATCGGCCCAAATATGGCCACGGTTAGGCCTTTGTTAAAAGAGTGTACTGCATCATCCTCGTCAAACAGATGCACTGGATAGCAGTCGTCGCGTATCTAGAGGAGGGGTTGCTAAAGATCCTTGACTGCAACCCAACTATTTATCAAGACAAGCAATTGGAGGTCGAGTTTGAGCCACTGTCCAGGTTGTTCCCGCGGCTGTTGCGTGACAGTAGGATGTTTGGGCACTTGGGTGATCAAGTACTAACCGGAAAGTGGCCAATTAAGCGCTCTACCGACCCAATAAATGAGTTAAGGTAAATTTTTTATAAAACTAACTTACATAATACAATTGTTCTATAAGTTTATTTTAATGCTAATGTCTTCTTCCTATTGTAGTGCTGAATGTGGGGCATATGCCTTGAAATTTATTGAGTTCGACATGACCAATAGCCCGATGGACGGCTTGAATGACGAAACAATGAGAGACTGTCGGGAGGGTTGGGCTATTGACTGCTTCCATAGGCAGAGATGGATCCGTTTTGAGAGAGCAAAACCCAATCAAAATGTATGAAAGTTAGATTTTGAATTTTGTAGTTTATGTGATGTTGATGTTGATACTTGGGTTGTGGTGCTGATGCTGCAGGTGTCATGCTTATATGGAGCTTTACCGAAAGAGACAGACTGAGTGAACTTCTCACCTACCTACTTTGTAACTTTTTTACGTGTTTTTTTTTATTTACAAAAGTTGACATGTCTGCAGGTGTGTGCCAAATAATTTTTATAGGTTCCTGGCAAACAATGAGAGGAAACTTCTCAAAGGTTGGTTGGCAAGAGGAGGCATTTGCAATAAAGCCTGCTGGGAAGGCATGGTACCAAACAATGATCTCAGACAGGTTGCTGGCAAACAGAATTCGAAAACTTCTCAAAGGCTGGTTGGCAGGATGAGGCATCTGCAATAAAGGGATTGTGCAAAGGTGTTAGTGACATTAAACTCTTTGGCATAAAAAAGTAAATTAAAGGCAGTGTATAGAAACTTCTCAAGTCCAGATCATTGTGCTGTGGCTCTTCTTGTGGCAGCCAAAAGCCTTGTGCCTGCAGAATCATTGTAAAGAATTGGATCTGACATTTGGGAGATATTTTTTTTTTTGTCCATATAAGATATCTCATTAGCAGTTTGAATTTACTATGTATGGTGTGATCATTTGCTTCACCCAAGTTGGATAATAGTTTTTTAGCATTTTGTTTCATTTTGTGTATCACTACAACGTGTGATGTACTGGTGTGATTATTTGATTCACCACAGTTGGGGCTAATGGTCAGATTGTCCAAATATTTCGATATTTGCCGCATCCTATGCCTATTTTTATTTTGTGTTTCGATA